AAAAAAAAATGAAGCTGTAAAACATTAACAAAGATACAGTAGGTAGACGATTAGAAATAGCAGAGGTCACGAAGTTTAAATTCAATCAAATACTCCAACAAGCTGTCATTTAACCCATATATATTTAGGCCAACTCTCCTAAAAGCCAGGATTTTCCAGAGTGGGAAGCCTTATTGGATAATCAAGATACTTCCCTAAAATTAAACTTTTATCAATGGAGGAAAATTGCTCTAATCATGATTTGTTTATTAGCGCATCACCAAGTTATGAATCTATAAGGTATAGTTTCTTGGATCTGAAATGCACATAAATTTGAACCAGAAATTGTCACACATGCTATGGCAAATTACTTTCTTTGGCTGGCCATTTCGACCCCCAATCGTAGTCACAATTATGTGGCCCGTCTCAGTCCCATTACCATCCACAACTGTTGCTTCCATTTCCTGTAAATGAAGACATAACCCTCATTACACAAGGCAAAACCATTCTCCTGACTGAAAAAATTTTATTAGGACAAAATGGGACAGCAAAATACAAGTATTATTTATGCCTTGAACGTATATACCTTGTCATCCCGGATTGTCATGTCATTCATCTCCTCCGGCAACCTATCAACCCCCACAGCATGGCTGCTTGATTCTCTTAAGCCAGAAGTAGGCACTATGCCCACTGAACCCATTTGTTAAAGTGCTGTTGCTTGTATTATCTCAACAAGGCATTCACCTGCTGAAACCAACACCACATTGTAAACTGCTATGAACTAAATCTGCATTTATACTAATACAAATTCTATCCAGATACATGCAATCCCTCTTTAATTAAAAAGTAACCGTTTCAACAAGTCATATATAGTAAGTGAAATTATTTCACTGAAATGAATTAACCAACAATGTCAATGGAGTCAAAGGTTACACAAATATTATACAATAACGACAAAATCAAAAACAGAATTTTGTGAAACTCAGGAGGCTGCTTTACGGGCACCTCTAAAACTAGGTGAATAGTCAATATGACACTTACTCTGCCTTGGAAATTAAAGATTAAACAGCTGAAAGTACAACACCATATATAGTAAACACAATTATTTCATTTTAATCCATAAAAAAAATAAAGACTTCAACTTTTTATTCAGAAGTCAAATAAAGCAAACCAGGCAATCAAACAAGCTACACGACACAACAGTAACAAATAGACTCAAAGATTACCTAATCTAAACTAAATTCTGGAGATTGGAAAGGAAAAGAAAAATGCATAAGAACAAAGCCTCCTTACTAACACAGCTAAAAATAT